TTTTTTGGTTTGGCTTTGTTAGGGGGGGGGGGGTCTGCAGCAGTTAGAGCTTAAAGCGAGACTGTATCCATGTCAGTGGAACAAGGCATGCTGATGTCAGAGATTTTTCCTCTGCCCTCCACAGTGGGAGGATCTCCGTGCGTTGAGTCACGCAGCTGTCAAAGATAGCTGTCACCCAGTTTCAGGATCAAACACACAGTCAATGAGAAAAGGGGCTTTGAGCCGAAGGGACGCAAGAGATCTCAGGTAACCCCCCCCTCCTCCTCCCTTTCCCCCCGGTTAAGTCTCCAAACAAGGACGACCCGAAGAGAGGAACAAAATACCCGTAAAAAAAGGGGGGAAAAGACGCGAGTTTTGATGAATAAGGATTTTCGCATATTCGGATACACGCTGGGGATATCTGGAGAAAAGAAGAGGAAAACACCGCACTGACACAAAGGCAATTTTTCTTCTGCGCTTGACGGCCAAATCAAAGAAAGTGGGCATTTTCGGGACGGACATGAAGACGAAAAAGGGTAGGTTGGATGCTTTTTAGGAAAATGAAGTGAAAATGAGTTCGGATGAACCCACAGAGGCAGCGGACAGAGAGCGATTAACAGAGCGATTTCCCTCATATGCAAACCATGCAGTCTATTGTTTCCTTTCCAGACATGACAGGGGGCTTTTTCTGCCATGTGCTGGCGCGATGTCAAAAGTCGGTCTAGCTAGCTTTTCTCATCGTTTGTGATTTTATTTTTTTTGTTCTGCATGTGTTTGAGTCCAGTTTTGACACAATAACACACGGCTGTTTCGCCATGCGTGTTGTTTTTGTCGTCACGGTGTAATGGGGCTAACTTTATAGCTCACGTAAAATGTCCAAAAACTGAATTAAACGAGGCTCTTTTTAGTCTTACTACAGGCTAATTTGACGAACGCTGCCTTTGTGTCGAAGTTGGACTAAAGTGAGGACTCAAGTTAAAGTTTGGCGACTATTGTGAGTTCAAGTTTTCAAGTGTCACAACTTGTTTAAAAAAAAAAATGATATTTTGTATCTTTCAACGGTCTGCCACGACCGGAAACACGTTCAGCACCTTTTTTAAAATTGTATCTTAATCCCAAATGTAGGCTAATGTTCATCCTGACCTAATTGTGGGAAGTTGCTGTTGCCTTGTTACATTCACGGACCTCGTGGTGCAGCGCTCACACACATACACACACAATAGAAAACCCCTTACAAGTTGTTTTAAACTCACAAAAAACAGTGTCTTCGTGGACTTTAAAGGTATTTTCTGCCCTCTCTGTTCAACTGTGGTGCTTTGGAGGGAGTTAAGTTTGTGGCGAACTCGCTGTTTGCGTGTAGAAACTTTTGAATCGCATACAAAGAACCACGCAGCCCTAGATTCTTTTGTTTAGTCTGGAGAAGCTGATTTGCAACAGGTCTCCCCTCCCCCTCGCTCCAGCCTACGTAATTACCTCATCCTGTTGGCCGCTCAGACTTGGGAACTTTCTTATTCCTTTCCCACTAGTTTGCCCCAGAGCTGACTACACTGGCTTGTGGATTGAATATCCTCCACATTTCTGTATTTTCTTAATGGCGTCTGGGTGGCTGCATAGCATACTATGAGTGACTAACAGTATCTAATTAAAAAATATGTGCTTTATATTTATGACAATGTTTTTTGTACGATTAAAAATGTTGAGAACTAGATTCAAATCAGACTAATTGTTGAGTAAAAAGTCTGATTTAAAGTGGGTTTTACAAACGCACATTATTATACATTATAAACAGGTTTGTTTTCCCTGGCTTCACATTTTGAGTAATTCAAAGGCCCAAATCCTGTTTGATCATGATTGACTTTGATTAGACATGCCCAAAAACGCTAAATCAATAAAGAAAGGAGCTCTCTAATCTTTGCAAATACACTGTGGCCGTTCATCAAAACAAAATCTCCCTTTACAGAGTGATTGTTCCTGTGGTCAGCCCAGTGTACTTTACTTATCCAAGCATGCAAGGTGTGCTCTCTGTCTGTGCAGTAGACCTGGCTTGTATTTGTCGAGGCAGGTTTTATAACTGCCACAGCATCAGACCAGCCTTTGTGACGTCCCCCCCCTTCCATCCCTCCCTCACTCCCTCCTCCTCCTCCTCCTCACACCCTCCCTCACTCCTTATATGAATCACATGGCTGAACTTGACAGCTTGCTTCTGACACATCAGCTGCCTCCCAAACAGCTTGCGTTTGGTAAACGGCTGCAGCAGGGAGACCGACAGCAGGGTGGCTGACATAAGAGGATATATAGTCTTCTTTGTCCTTTATCTCATACGCTCTGTTTTTTTCTCCCCACTTGCGCAGGTTTAATGATGCTGTCGGGGAGCGAGACGGACGATGAGGACAGCGTGGACGCCCCCCTGGATCTGTCGTCCAGTGCGGGGAGCAACGGGAAGAGGAAACGGCGGGGGAATCTACCAAAGGAGTCGGTTCAGATCCTCCGGGACTGGTTGTACGAGCACCGTTACAACGCTTACCCCTCTGAACAGGAGAAAGCCCTCCTGTCCAAGCAGACTCAGCTCTCCACACTACAGGTACGGACATTACAGAACAGATAAGATTACCAGTAAAACCCTCAGAGTGTAAACACACACTGTGAAGTCAAGAGGAAGCAAGTGTCACCTCGACTGAATCATTTCCTGTCTAGATGGCAAACAAAACATGACACATGAACATTGAATTGAAGGTCATCCAAACCAGCTTGATGTTGCAACATTAAAGCCTGAGACAACGTGAGTAAACTCACTCCCTGTATGCTGTTGGCTTGGCTGAGGCACTTGGACAGGAATTTCCCTCCCTCCAGCCCCTTTCCATCCCAGCTGTCTGGGAACAATGCAGAGTCATTTACATGGTTAGAGCTGCAAGTCTCCCTGAGCCAGTTACGACTAGCCTGGAGGATGACCATGATTACTGCTATGACAAAAGGAGATTACTTTGTATTGAAAACTCTTTTAAGTACCGGATTAAGAAGTCCAAACTAGACTTCTTGTTAAAAGTTAAGGTTTAGCTTCTCCTAGTTTGAGATGTGATTTTTAATCTTTAAATCTTAGAGGTTTGTTTTGTCTGCAGTGCTGGAATGATATACAGGAAATGCTAATCGTGAGAAATATATGTGAAATACTCTGATGGGTGGTGTTTACCCTTTCATTTTGATTTCCCTATTGAAAACACAGGTGCAAACTGCACCTGAGGGTAGGCGTACCAGCAGATTTTCTTTTAAATTGCAAGGCAGATCCTAAGTGAGCCATGTGATACGGCTTTCTCACAGCATGGATTTTTGTTGTTGTTCTCTTCCAGGTGTGCAACTGGTTCATTAACGCACGGCGGCGGCTTCTTCCAGAGATGCTGAGGAAAGATGGCAAAGATCCCAACCAGTTCACCATATCCAGGAAAGGTAGCAAGGCCGGCGACAGCTTCTCTGACAGCTCCCAGTCCCCGAAACACAGCAGTCCCGCAGCAGGTACAGAGGAGAGCTATGACAAACGCGTTCTCCACCCCTCCAGCTTTGAACCCACCATGCCCGGGGTCCTGAGGAAGGCTGTGTCTCCATCCTTACCCTCACCAACTTCCATGTCCCCCTCTCCAGGGCTCATGCCCACCCGCCCGTCTGTCATCTGTCACACCACTGTCACCACAGC